ATCCATCATCCCATCTCGCTGGAACGAAAAGCATGTTTTCTGAACAGTTGGGGGAAGAAAATGCATCGGTGCCCTTTGGTAAAACCCTAATATTTGGGGTTGGCCTTTTGGCAGCCCTAGTGCAGAGGCAATCGCTCACAGGGCAGGAGCTCTGCAAATTATTAACTGGTTTATTAAACTGTGATGTTAACTTGTACCAGCGCGGGGGGGTAGGAGGGGAAGAAACCCTCTGCAAAATAATTGTTTGTGGAGGGTTGTGAGGACAAAGGAGATACCAAAAACAGCCTTTAACAACATTGGCAAGAATTCCAGTTCGCTCCCTCCTGAATCTTTCTCGGTGAATTAAATTCTTTCCTAATTAGATTTAGAAGGTGACATTTTTTGCTCCTGCTCTTGATAGGAGGGAAAACAAGCTTTGATTACACAGCATGAAAGTCCACGTAGGGTGGAACTGAAGGGGACCCCCGGAGCAGGAAAGATTAATGGGACAGGCGAGGGGGGGGCGGTAGAGTGTGCCGCCTCTGCCAGAAGCAAAGGGGCTCTTAAAACTGCCACACACACACACACACACACACACACGTGACATTTCTTTGAAGTCAAGTCAAAGTCAACATTTTTTTAGAAAATCAACATTGCCGAGCCTCCTCGGCTCCGCTTATGCCTGCTTGATATTGTTTAGCTCGCACCTGCCACAGCGCTTACAGCAGGCGGGAGCAGAAAGCAAAAACAGCGGTCGAAAACAGCCGCAGCAGCCTTTCAAAGCCTTCCGTTGAGACTAGTTGGACGGGGGGGGGGAACGCTTGGCAGTGACATCCCCTGGAAGAGGCGTGCGGGCTTCAGCCAATCCACCGAGGAACTTGAAGGTGGTGTGCGGATTTTTCCGAGCCTGGTGCCTTTTGCCACAAGAGCCGAGGAGAAAGAGAGAGGAAGGCAAGAAATCATCCAGACTAACTGAAGGGAGAGCATTTTCTTGCATAATAATTAAGGGGTGTGTGTGTGTGTGTGAGAGAGAGAGAGAAGCAGCTCTTTGAAGCGCATCTCTAATGGACAAGGGGAGCCTTTGGGGAGATGCTGTCCCCTCTTTACAGAGATTTTTAAAAAAAGGAACCATCCCAGGAGCCTTCAACGCAATTCTTTGCGGGGGGGTGTCCTTTTTGGCTATTGTTCTCATCTTCCATTTACGCACTGCTGTTTGCTGACCTTTCGCACTGAAGTCTCTGCTGCCACCCCCACCCCCTTTCCCAGTTGCTCCACCCTGTACAGTTCCAACGGGGAAGAGGCACGGTTTGGGGAAAACGTGCCACGAAGCCACCCCTGCGTGGTACCTTCCACGAACAACGAGGGCTGAGATTTTTTTTTCATCAAGGCGGTAGGGCATTGCGACCCTTCCACGGGAAATAAAATCAGGAGCGAAGAAGAGTGAAACGAAGCCTTCCGAAAACCACTAGCAAAGAAGGGAAGGGACAAACTCCCCCCCCTTTTTCCCCCCTTGAAAGTGTGCCATCGCCACGTTCAGCCAAAGCGGAGAACATCCACCCGTCTGAGATACTCAGGACTGGAGATGAGGAGACGAAAACAGTAGTAGATAAGAATGACTGATGGCACCATGACATCCCAAAGTAGACAGTTGACATCTGCTTTGGGCTAGCAACTCTTTCTGAGGCCCGCATGATGCCTGAAGACAGGAATACGGGGGTCCGTGCCTCCTCGGGTACCCTGGCATCTTCTCCTTTTGTTCCCAAAACTACTTACAGGAGGATTAAGCGATGTTTTAGCTTCCGAAAAGGTAGGTAGACTTTTCCTTCTTTTCCTTTCCAGAAAGGGCTCCGGGGGTGTAAGAGAGCAGAAATGCCCTTTTCATAACCGATCCAGAAACAAAAGGAGGCGAAGCGATCAAAAGATTTTGCCAGGTTTAAGTTTTATTTCACCTCGCAGGTGAAGTTTTATGCCGCAAGGGTCGCCATCCTCTTTCCTCCAGACCCACCAGGGGAAACCAAAAGGGTTTAGCAGGGTTTAAAAATCCCAGCGCAGGGGAGCTATAAAAATCGCTCGGGCATCAAGGGCACCTGCTTCCATCCAAGCAGGGAAGAAATGGCCAGCGGTAGAGCTTAAAAAGCAGAGAGCCATTTGTGTCTGAAAAGGATTGGTGAGCTGCGGGAGATTTGCAGTTCCAGTCCGGTCCCTTCTGTTCACATTTGGCTCTTGTGAGTTTGCTTGCATGCTTTCTAAACCTTGTTTCTTTCTTTTTTTACCTTTCCCTGGTGCAAAAACAAAAACCCCACAACCCTTTTCATTCTGATCGTTCCACCCCCCTTTGCTTAATTATTACACTTCTAATCAATGCATCGGATTTCCCTGGGCATGTGTGTGCATGCATGTATGTGTAACACAGCTGCTGTTGGTGGAAGTGCAGAAACGTGTTACTGAGGGGAAGGGCAGGGATCGTGTTAGTTTTGAAAAAGATAGGAAAGAATTTCCCCAGGACTGATCCAGTTGGCTAACCCAACGGCACTCAGAACTAGGGCATAAGACCAAGCACATACTGTCTACCAATTCCCTTAAGATCCAGTATTTTCAGACCGTTTAGTTTTAATTGCATTCCCCTTACTTACCTGTGACAGTTAATGACTCCTTTATTTCTGGAGGCAATATGTTCTTTGGCACGAAGTCTTGAAATACAGGTATTAATATAAAAAGGGGCAGTGTGCTTTGGGGGTGGGTGGGTAGGAGGGGACAAGACACTAAATATCTTTACTGTACAGATCTGAGATAAGATTTAAGAAATAAGATCTTATCTTGAGTCACGAGAAATTCAGCCATCCCTTTATTGTTAGCCTTCTGGTTGTGTCATTCAGTTTATTTCCATTGGGAAACTTGGGAGAAATGGGAGAAATCATGGACAGAAAGACATTTTCAAAGTTTCACCCTATGTGTGTTGACCAAGTTGCCAAGGGATTGTGTCATGTGTATCTGTCATTTCTTAGATGTATTTAACATGCTGGGTAAAACATGTATGGGTTGGCTATAATGCAAGTCTTGGGATTATATACAATTGCAGTGAACTCTTTAAAAAGCTTTCTTGTTGTTAAAAAAATTTTTTTTAAGTATAGACCTTTCTTTCTGTCACTTTCCAGAAATTTAATAAATGATCTCAACATTCCTGACATCCTTTTATATATTTCTCATTTTAAAAAAAATTTCTCTAGGCAAAATTCAGTGAGACTTCAAGGGAGATATGAAATAGGTGGGTAGTCTTTGACAAACCATTTGCTTCTGGGGGAATTTAAACTTTAGTTTTTCCTACAAAGGAGCCCCCAAATTCATCTCCAATGACATCTTGAAGCACGCTATAGAACTAGAAGATTCCATTGAGGGTAGATTTCTTCAATTGAATTCATTTCAAGCATGTGGATAATATTGCTGGAGATACACAGACCACTCCCTCAACTGATTCTAACCCAGATAGTGAAAATTGGAGCAACAGGGCCATCTCAGCTCAGCTGTGATAAATTTTAGGTCAAAACTGAACATCAGAGCTCCTACTGAACAAAATAAAATGTGGCATTTCATCTGCCACATCTGATTCAGTCAGAATTAAATCTCATTTCTCAACAAGCTTTGAAGCAAAGAGCAAGCAGAGAATTTTGAGGATCAAAGCAATGAGCAAGACCAAGAAAATGACCATTCAGCCTTCCTGAATTCATATCCAGAACAGATACAATATCAAGAATCCTCTCTTGTGCACTCTTGTTAAGACATAAGAAGAGGAGGTGTGATGGTATTCAGTATTCTAGACTTTTTATGAAAGAACAGATCAGGAGCTTTTAACCCCAGATAGAACAAGAAGATAGATAGATGATGGATGGATGGATGGATGGATGGATGGATGGATGGATGGATGGATGGATGGATGATAGAGATAGGTAGGTAGGTAGGTAGGTAGGTAGGTAGGTAGGTAGGTAGGTAGGTAGGTAGATAGATAGATGATAGATAGATAGATAGATAGATAGATAGATAGATAGATAGATAGATAGATAGATAGATAGATAGATAGAT